GAAAGAGAAAAATGAAATGGGGTGTGCAGTGAACCTCACAGAGGGCAGGTAGTGCAACTGGAATTACGGGCGCAGCTGTTTTTGACACAGTGGTAGAAGACCGTAAAAGTCAGAGCAAAAAGTAAGAATAAAGTAACTATGGAATATCTGGATTAAGAGCAGCATGATGAAAACTAGAGTAAGGTGGTTCAAGCAACTACCTATGGATGAATAGGAAATGAAAAAGAAGACAAGCAGAGAGTCATGTGCTAAAAGAATTCTGAGATGAATGAGCAGTGAGGTAGAGAGTATGGACAATGGTGGTGAGTGTAGCAATAAAAAAAAAGATTAGACATAAGTTGATGATGGACTGTGTGTGAGGGTCAAAGAAAACAGTAGATTTACTAAATATTAAGTTCCACTAATATTTAAAGAGCAGTAATGCTAATAATATTAGTTGAAAAAAGGAAGCTGTGATATTCGGAAGGAAGATAAACTGAATTTTTGTGAAGCCAGATACCATGTTGCCTGGGTTACATATGCAAATAATGTTTATGTATAAAGGAAGCAGTTCTTAGGGTAGTATCAAATAAATCTGTAATAACGTAACAGCACTTATTTCACTCTATGTCTTTTTTTAAATAAATCTACTTCTAACCTCAACAGCCTGGGTCGCTGTATTTCATGGAACATTTTTGTATGTAAAAGCAAACTGCCTTACCGATGCATGCCTGCTTCGTAGGAGTCCTCTGGAATCCAGCATGACATTTACAATAATAGGATCCAGGTGTGTTAACACAATCTCCATTAGTGCAGGGATTTGATGTGCATTCATCAACATCTGTGAGCCGCAAAAGAAACCATTATAGACTTCACTCCATTTCTAGAAATGTTTGTTTAAAGTACATTTAGGCCTCCCAAATTTGAAAGGCCAGTCAGTGGTAATAGTCTAAATAGCAGAGTATTTATAAATGAATGAACATTCCTTTCTTCCAATACAGAGGCCAGTCTGGAGATTTACAAAAATATTGCCTATTGGATAGTACAAGGAAATTTGCTTTAATCAAGAAATAATGCTTTTTCAATTTGAATAAGGCACAATAATTAAAAGCATGGGCTCTATAAAGACATAGCCATGAGTTCCAACAGGCTATCACACTTATTATCTTTAGTAGTCTGAGCAAGTAAATAGGCTCTCTAAGGTTTAGTACAGTGTTAGAAGACGAATTAAAGATTTTTTAAAATACATATTTATATTATATGTTGTCACTTCTATTAGTTTAAATGAAAGAAATTAATGAAATTTCTTGTTACTATTTTTTTGTGAACTCAACTATATATGTAACTACATATGCATTGAGGCTTGGGTAATATTTTGAAGTAACAGACATAGGGTGAGGTAGAAAATGGAAATTAATTAAAACAGAGCCGATTATTTCCAGTAGTTTTTTAAGTTTCTTTAGGATCTTGAAATTGGCACAGCAATTTTTTGCATAAAAATAAGTTTTATGCAAATACTAGTTCTGATCTTAAATGTGAGAAATGTCACTGCTTTTCATTCAAGTCCTCCTGAGGGTTGATTAAATGCAAACCCATCACAGAGTTCAGGAACTGCACAACCAAATAGCAGACTGAACAGTCTGGCCTAGGAAACACCCAAAGAAATCATGTATGCCAGTGTTAGAAAAAGTTTAATTCATCTTCTTTCAGCAATGCTCACTAAATATTATTTTGAATGCTGGCAAATTAAAAACCTGGCAGGCTGATGAGGGCATAATGATTTGCTATTTTATATACATGTAGAAGTCACTAGCATATACAATTTCAGCTAAATTGGAGAGCACAACAATAAAATCAATTCACGGGTTTACCATTTTAATAAACAAATTACTCTTTTCACAGATGTTCTTAAAACAGGAACTGTACTCTATCAAACTCACTAACCTCAATTATATAAACACTCAGACTGAATGTAATTAAGCTCTCTCTGGTAAAGGAAGAGAAAAAATCTCATAGCAAATAAAAACAAAGAATAATAAGATTAAATGTTTTTTCAATTAATCCAAAAACACCTTCAGCCGCCCATTAAGACTCACTTACATTTAAATTTTGGTTGATAACATCAATCCTACTGAGCCAAAGGAATGTAGCAAAATGAGAAAAGAGAGAATTTAGAGCGTTAGCAAGCATATAAAATATAATTAAGGGACTTTCCAATACAAAATATCACCTTTAGTTTGCAGTGTTGAAGACCCCTTAGATTCTATGTGTACATAATTTTCAAATGTAACAATTAAAAACCTGTTGTAGATGCATCTTTATAGAAGCCTCATTGTAAAGCTGTTTTCATGAAGAACAGGAGATCATGCACCCCCCCGCCCCTTCAGGTAAACTTTCTGGGAAGCTGGCACTTTTCAGGACCTTTCCCTCCCCTTTGAGAACCTGTTGCTAAGGCCCCTAGTTGCTATGACAGCTCTGCCAGTTACTTTGCCATTAAGGCCTCAATTCATTTCTTTCCTTAACCCTTCAGGGCTAAAGGACCGGCGCGCACAGAACATACAGTAGTCCACTTACTTATTTCTCCTTTGGAAGGGAAAACAATCACCAAAAAACTATTAGTGACTTTACAATCCATTACTTTAAAACACCATTTGTTTTCTAGGATATTGTAAGATTTTCAGTTTTAGACTAATCACAAATGATCATTGCCGTGTTCTGAAATGTATACCTCATGCCTCTATTTTGAGTCTCAGAGTCTAGTACTTCCAATTGTTCATCTTTGTTTGGCCTTGTGTAGAGGAACAGGAGTACTTGAATATTACAGTCTATACACTCTGATTTCTTTCCTGTGTTTTCTTCCTATTTCTTCCTATGATTTCTTCCTATGTTTTCTTTCTGAGCAGTTTTAAGCAAAATTCACAGAATTTTAAACGCCTAAAACAAATGAGGTAATTGAGAAAGACGCTGATTATCAAAATGGTTAAATTCTCAGGTACTGTTGGGGTAAGAAATATTTACCCTCGCAGAGTACTTTATATTCCAAAAATTTCAATTTGCAAGGGCTCTAAGATTACTTGTGGCTCAACAGAAACAGAAATTATTTCTTACTACTCCAAAATAGAATAATTTGAACGGAGTTAAAAACCACTGCTAACAGCAGTTCGACATACAGACAGTAAGAGTCAAAGAAATTCATTTTAGTGTAGAATTCTCGAAAAAAGTGAAAAATGTGATGAGTAAATAAAACCATTTTCAGGTCTCAGGAATAACTCATAATAGCGAAATGGACCCAATTTCTATTTTCCTTGTGTTTGATCCTTTAATACAATTGTTGTCTTTCAAGTTTGTTATTCTTCAAAACACAGGTACTAATTAAAATGGTTGCCACTTTATCTTGGACTTATATTCTTTTAACTTTTTCTGATACCCCAGCTTGTTTATAAAGTCAAACTCAAACTGACTAGAAGTTGACTTTAGAAAAAGCAGAGAATGAAAAATATTAAAAACTCACTTTCTGAAAATATGCCCCAATACTGATCTTTGTCCCTACAAATTACAATGGTTATAAAGATAACTCTGCCTGGGTTTTAACTTGCTGGGTGATGAGATTAAACTAGAATGGAACTGCTTATAATAATGTTTGTGTAAAACACAGAAGTTTGAGATTTATATTGACACATTAACTGTGCATACACACAGTCCCAACACTACATTAGACAGAGTTTATAAAATGGGTGGCAACAGCCCCTCTTACCTGGGTTCTAGGAAAAGTAAGGATCTTAAGACATTCATGTGATTAGCTCATCTCTCGTGCATCTAGAGCAGTGCTAACTATTCATTTCCCTTGGGAGAATTGAAAAAACAGACACTGAAATCACTTTCTGTATGGTGTAATTCTCCTGAGGAATCCTGGTTGAGAAGCCTGGGTTGGCAGCATAGCTACAGAAAGAACTGCTGATCCTTAAAGACAGTTTATCCTTATACCAATGGTTCACGACCCACCCCTCATTCCTCGCCAGAGCAGAGGTATTTTATTCGCTAGAAAAAGCGCACCCCACTGCTAACATGAAATAAATGGTGGTTTCTCGCTAATGTACAGAAAATATTTAACTTCTGGCCTACTTTCACTTGTTGGAATCATGCAGTGACACATGAATGACAAATATTAATAGCAAAGCAAAAATAATCAGACTTCAGTTTGATAGAGCGTAATTTTGTATATATGTGCGAGAGGGAATATTTTATATATTGCATGTTTATAATCATGTTTTCTGGTAGTAAAATCATTTTCAAGTCATATAATTAGATTAAACATATCAGTATTTCATGGTGTTCCAAAAATAACTACCTGGTCTATCACTTAAACAAGCATCAAGTAGTATCTGCTAAGCCAAGGCTGCTGTGTGTAGTTACATACTGTACAACCCGAGGGTGCACCAGTTATCTGTGAACAGTATGCTTTATAGTCGTGCAGTGCAAAACCTGTGCAACTGTACAAAGGGATCCTGAGCTAAGCCTTATTTAATCATTCTGATCTTGCAGCTCTGTACACAGTTTAGAATGATCGTTTTTCCAGAACATCATATTTGGCTCACATTTCCTTCATAATCACAGTGCACTTAGACCTTTCCAGTTTAACTTGGCAAAATTATAATACTAACTCTCTGTTCTTGGCCTCTCATCTATATTTTATAGCAGAAGACCTGAACCCAAATCTGGTAGTTAAGGTTATACTAATTATAAAACATATACATGATTATTTGCTAATATGATGAATAAATGAAAGAATAACCACGAAATAGTTCAATTCCCATGGTCCTAAAACTACTCTTAATAGATCCTCAAAACTCACATTATGAAATCCAATAGATTTCTTCCTTAATGTATCTGATTTTTTTGCCACATTTAACATTTGATACTACCTTTCTCTGGAAAGCGTACCCTTGGATAGCTTCAGTGACATTATACTTTCTGGATTATTTTTCTGTTTCTCCAGCACAATTACTAAGTTTTTTTTAATGGATTTCCTAGTTCCACAAGGTTCCAGCCACAGTACTGCTGCATCCTCTCATGCTTCCTGTCTAGTCTGGGTGACAATATTCACCCTCATGATTCTAACAGCCACCTGTATGTTATTGACCTGTAACTCTAGCCCTGATCACTCCTCTTAGCTTTATACCTCTGTAATTAAATGTCCTGGACACTTAAAATTCAACATGTCCAAAAGAAAGTCATCAACTATTCTCTCCCAATCTGTACCTTCCTCGGCATGTCAATCACACTACCACATACTCAGTGTTGTTCAGCTAAGAAGGAAAAGAAAAGGAGTGGCAGAGACAGAAATCACAATGCTAGGATCTGAAAGGGTGCTCCTGAAGCAGTCTAGCCCAGCAGAAGGTTAAGGGAGCATGGGGAAGACACAGGAGAGAAAGCCTGGAAATTAACTTTACTTCAAAAGATCTTTTAAAAAATCATGTTCGGTCCAATTTGTTCCTGTAGTCTAAAAGCAATCAAAAAACTAAAGACTAAAGCATCATGAGCTTACCTATGCAATCCCCGTTTGCATCTTGCTTATAGCCCATGTTGCATTCACATCGGTAGCTAGAAACGGTAGGTATGCAGCGTCCATTTAAACAGAGATTAGCATGGTGCTTACAGATATCTATTGTCTGGTTCAAAATAGCTATAGAAAATTAAAAAAAACAACAAAACATAAGATATAGTTCATCATTACAACATGTATTACTTTTCTAAGAGTCAATTTTTTAAGAGATATTTAACAGTACATTAATTAGGTATATATACCAAAAGGTCACATTGTTCTATATATTTTTTAAACTTTAATGTTGAGGATATAAAACATATTCTTGAGACACATGATTTCTTAAGTTATGTATCTGGAGACTGCCTATAATGTCTTTTTAAGTTTTCCGGAATGTTCTACTGTATATTTGAATGCTTTCCATTTCTTTTTTGTAACTGTGTTGAATATTCAGATATAGTAAATAGGCAACATGCCAAAAAGAATAAACATAACACTGTAGGACATCATTAAATATTATTAGAAAGAGCAGTTCTTTTAAAAAGAATGAATTTAAATGTCAAGTACACCAATGCCAATTCTGACCTGAAGCCCGCAGTTCTCCATTTCTTAAGTTATTCAACAAAAAAAGGGTGAAGAAAAGAAAGATATTTCATTATAATATTTGGATAGGCACAGAGCAAGATTTATTCAGTTTATCTCAGCTGAGAAATGGTTTTGGAAATAATTCAAGAGGTGTATGAACAGGGCAGCTGTAAACGGCCAAATGAAATACACTGGAACCAAAAACGTGCTCTTGAATGGTGTCATCTGAGTTGGAGTATTACTGTGTTCTCATCTCTATTTTCAAAGTAAGCCTGGGTCACTCATTCTTTTCTCCAATTTGAAAAGTTTATGGAACAGAAAAATAATATTTTTCTAAGAATTTTTTATTACTGTATTATATTTTAGACCCTGAAATAGGCTTTTACACACACACATGCGTGCACGCGCGCACACACACACACACACACAGCCCTTTTGGGAAAAAAGTTAGCAAATAAAATATCATTTAAGGCATAAAACTAAAGAGTTTACACAAAATATGAATACTCACTTAGTCCGGTGATGATGGGCCCCTGTCCCCCGGCCCCTACACCCGCTCCCCCAACGCCGGGAGAAAAGCCATTGCTTCCAGGGATGGGGATGAAGCCTGCCCCTCCTGGGCCATAGCCATTGCCATTGCCACTTGGGGCAAAGCCATTCCCCCCAGTGCCTCCAGGTCTGGAACCAGCACTCCCTGGAATCCCTCCTATTGGAAGTCCATCCATGCAAAGTCTGCGGTATTCCTCTACAAGAAAAGAAAGCTCGGTTAAACATTAATGGAAGTCTTTCTACAGAACAAGAACTATCTATCTACTGTAACGATCACTTTAGCTTATCTATACTACATGATGTGAGTAAGCAGGGTATTCTCTTGATAAATGTTTTCAATGCTAGCAGTAGTAGGAAAAGGTATAGATGTTTCAGAAAATAAATTGAAACCTATATGCTATATTTTAACTGAATTGCATAACCAAAGAATCATCTGTATGAGCATTTTGATTTTATGTCCCTTAGTGAAACTCATAACATTCCAGAAATAACTATTACTGCATGAAGTTTACTTGAATGAATGAAAATTAAAGCTTTAAGTAATTCATTCTGTATATTTGATTTTACCTGAAATTTCATCAGCACTGCACCTACACATTTTCCTATTACTTGTCTTCTCTTTAAGGGGTTAATATGGCTTCAGAATAATATATTTTCTAATGTGGATTTTAACAGAAGATGGTATTTAATAAGCTTTTAAATCTGCTCTTCATTTATCCAAGTATAGAAGTTGAGAGAAAAGCAGCAAGAATATAGTGCTTGCCTTATTTCCTTAACTATTGTCAGAATTAGAAAACTATTTCAGAAGAAACGAAAATTGTTTAACTCAAGTAATTGTTTCCGTATTATCCTTAAGACTATATATTACTATGGAACTATGAGTTTCCAAAATTCTATACTATGCACTAACTCTGCTCTAAAATTTTTTTCTACTTGATTTTGAAATTTTATAGCTTAGAGATTTTGAAAGATCGTGCCTTCTTTTCTCTCTATAACAGTACATATAGATACATGTCTTTATAAATATATTTCAAAAAATTTAATAATTTTCATAATTATAATTTAATGTGAAGACATGTAATAAAATATATTGATATGCTCCATGTGATAAACATTCACTGTACTTAACTATTCATATTCTATTAACAAGAGGAGCTACTTCTCATTCATCCTAAAGTAATTTCCTGATATAGCCTCAGTTATATGGTAGTTAATATAGCAAAGTGAATGAGAGGCATCCTCCTATCTTTTTATTCATAGTTTTCAGATCATTAAAAAAGAAGAAATATCTTAAAGGATTGGGACACTACACGATAAATGTGCTCCTGAAATAAAATATAAATGAAGGTAGAACTTTGTTATTCAAAGATATTCAATCTCTGGAATGAAAGATCAGGAGGTTGTAAAACTGAATTGAATACTGACATTCAAAATAATTTTAAAAAATACTTGCACAAACACAGGTCATAACAAGCTTTCAGGAATATTTCTGATATTAATAAATCGTGTATGATCAAAACTGATCCCAAACAGACATGCCATCCTATCCCTGACAAAAACACCTAAGTCATATTGAATACAGTGAAAGGAATACAAATAAGATCTGACTTCAAGGAGAAGAGCAAAGCACATTAGTACACTAGTATTAGTTTTCCTAACACTGTCTCTCCTGAAGAAACAAGCAGCAGGCTTCTTACCAGAGCCTCTGACGGGACAGGCTTCAGGAATGGTTCCAAGGCCCCAGCAGCGGCCAGGCTCACAGCAGCACTGCATTTTTGTCATTCTGCCAGGGAGTTCTTGTGCACAACGACCATTCACTAGGCCCGAGAAACACGTGCCTGTTCTTTGATCTGAACATGTGAAAATAAAATAGAAGACATGGCAGAATTATCTCAGGTTCTCACATCAATCATTTCATGTATTAGAAGAGGTTAAATGAAGTGAATTATTTTGTTTAATTTTTATTACATCTATTTACTCTCTTAATTTCTATTACATTTACTTTTCCTCTATTTATTTACTGAGCAAACATTCACTGAGCACCTATTCCATGCCACATCCCAGGGTTACAAAAATGAAAGGCATTAAGCAGATGTGAGCCCATACTGCAGTGAGAAGCCAAGCCCAGACAAATCTGGAGCTCGAAGGAAAGAAACAACCCAAACCCACCTTTGATTATCCAATCCCCAGTAGATGTGTACTGCTGTTTGCCACTGAGATTTTTGTGTTTTTTTTGTTACATAGCAGTACCTGACTGATACAAGTCTATTTTGGAAAGGTTGGTCAGAAGCAGCTTTTAGAGACAGTGACATCTGAGGAGAGACCTGAATAAAGTGAGATCATGAACCATGTAGTTATCTGAAGAGCAGTTTAAAGACAAATAAGGGGATGTGCTTGATATGTGTGAAAAATAAGGGCCCGGTGTGACTAGAAAAGAGCATGCAAAAGGGAGAGTGGAAGACTATGAGTTCAAAGAGGTATCAAAAGCAAGGTCACATATAACCTTCTAGACCATTAGGGAAGGACTTTTGGATTTTATTTGGAGTTCTTTAAGAGTCATTGGATGGTTTCAATTAGGAGAAAGACCATAGTTCACTTTTTTTCTTTTTAATCTCTCTGGTCACTGACTGTGGTAAGCACAGGACGACCAGTGAAGATGATATCAAAGACCTTCAGGTGAGAAATGATGGTAGCCTGGATGAGGGTAATGGCAGTGAAGATGATGACAGTGGTCAGATGACAGACATATTTTGAAAGTACAGCCAATGGGAACTTATTTGGGTATAGAGTAGGAGAGAAAAGAAAATTTCCTAAGTTTCGATTTACACAACTAAATGGGGATAACAAGGGAAGAAGTAGGATTAGAGCACATAATACAAGGGTCTTCTTTAAAATGTGTTACATTTAGAATGTTGAATTTTGAGCCTAGAACTCAGAGGAATGGTCAGGCTGAAGATATATACCTGTGAGTTATGAGTGTATATATACGGTGTGTAAGGCATGGTGCTGAATGAGACATTTTCAAGAAATAGGGGCAATGAATTATGTCAAATGGTAATGAAAAGTAAAGTAAGGTAAGGATTCAGAATCACTACTGGGTTTGGCAGGACCATGATGGTAAGAAGTTTGTGCCTTATCCTGCGGGACTGGGAGTAGAGAAATAATATGATCAAAGGGGGCTATAATAAAGATCACTCTGGCAGCACAGTAGAGAATGGATCAGAATGGCAGATAAAGGCTAGAGGATAGCATCAGAAAAGTATATAAAATGCAAAATTGCATAGGGATAAAATATTAATATCACCTACAAACTCTGTGGGTTTATAAAGGAAGCTGCCTTTATTGTAGGCCATGAAAAAACCTTAATCTATTCACTATACACTATTCAATTTTTATCAAGATGCATTCAAAGATTTTCTGTCTATGACCACAAGAAGAAAGATGTACCACAACAATCAGGAATTGCATATCAATAATGAAGATGAAACTACTAATTACAAATAATTCCATTAACAGGTAAAGCCCCAATTTTCTGTACTAGATATAGAGTTTAGAATAAATTTATTTCCTCAAATAGTCCATAGTATACCTCAGGTTGCTTCTAAGCTATTACTAAATAAATGAATTGGCTTTAAGATACTCCACGTAAGAATTAGAATACCAACTTCCATTTCTCAGAACGACCAAACAGATAGTCTTCAACTTATGATGGTTCGACTTAACAATTTTTTGACTTTATGAAGGTGTGAAAGAGATACTCATTCAGTAGAAACCATACTTTGAATTTTGAGTTCAATATTTTCCCAGGCTAAAGACATGTAGTATGATACTCTCTTATGATGTTAGGTAGCACCAGTGAGCTGCAACTCCCAGCAAGACACACAATCACCAGGGCAAACAACTGATACTCTACAGTGTGCTGTGTTCCCAGCATTTTTTTTTTTTTTTTGGATATTGAGTGCCGAGCACACTTAAGGTAGGCTAGGCTAAGCTATGATGTTCGGTTGGTTAGGTGTATTAAATATGTTTTTGACTTAACTGTATTTTCAATTTACAATAGATTTATCAGGATGTAACCTTATTGCCAGTTGAGGAGCATATGTACTAAATTCGATGCATGCATACATGCATACTTAAAACCACTGAAGACATTTCATAAACTTCAGAAGTTGGACTTGGACAGGCTGTCACTGGGAATAGTTTCACCGGCAGGTTTCTATTCCTAAGAATGAGCCAGGAAAATTATTTTTGAAATATTCATTCCAGGAACCCAAAGTATCATATTCTTAGATTCACTTGATTGCTACAATCCTCGAGAATAGGATGCAAATTAGGATAAGAAAGTACTAAACTCTTAACAATAATCACAGTTATGAAAGTACTACAAGGTAGGCCGAATTGTATTTATCTCTCTAAGGCTTTTGCAAGGAACAGGTGGTACTGTAAGTTTTGAAGAAAACACAATGGCCTTGAATCGAGAGACCTAGGTTTACATCAAAATATTAACTGTTTAATTTTGCAACTATATTTAACTCTTCTTTGCCATGGAAATGAGTTGGTGAATAAATTAAATAAAATGACATATGTTGTTTATAGTAAAATGGTGGATTAGCTAGCTACCCTGAACGTCTCTCCCAACAGAAATACCCAAGATAAAATATGAAAAACTATTTACAAAAATACATAGCCTAGCTGGCATGAAAGAAAGGAAAATATAATAGAGTCTCAAAATGAAAACAGGAACTTTAAGAGGAAAATGCACAGCTAGGTTTGTAGTTTAAGGCTTCTGAAAAACTCTAGAGACTTTTAATTTCAACTCTGCTGGGTGAAGGAAAAAGAAAAGATATTTCCTAAGAATATTTAACCACAAGTTCTTCCTCACACAGACAGCTTTGAAGTCTCAATTCATATTAGGTTTGTGGTCTGAAAAACTTCAAAGGAGGAATGTAATATGAAGATGTCCTCAGGTAGGGGATTTTCCAAGCAACTGGCAAAAGCTAATACCACTGAGGACCAGCCTTAAAGAATTCTCATAGATAAAGTTCCAAGAAAAAGGAGTAGCTAACAGGAAAATAAATTAGTAAATAAACAGCACATAAAGAAACAAGGCTTAATGAACAAACGCTAGCTGAATGAATAGCAGATTTTAGATATTGCAATGATCACATCAATTCTGAGTATTAATTAATAATTCATTAAACATTAAAAACTAGATTATATTTGATATGTTTAAGGCAATTAAAACCTTAAAATGTGAGCAAGAAAAAAGAGTCTATAAGCAACAAAACGGACTTAAAAGAATTCAATGAAACTTCTCTAAATAGAAATGATTATAACTGAAATAAAATACTCAATATATTAAGCAGTGTATTGCACATAGATGAAGAGAGAATTACTGAGCTGGAAGATATAGCTGAATAAATTTACTTCAGTGTAGTTCAGAGAGACAGAGATGGAAAATGTTAAGAAATATGGAGGTGAGCTTGAAAAGGTGATATACATCTAATAGGAGCACTAGAAAGAGGTAATAAGCAGACTGGAGGAGAGGCAATATTCAACAGACAGTAGCTGAGAATTTTCTGACAATGTTGCAACAACCTCCCATTCTAGGAATTCTAATAAATCCAAAGTGGGAAAAATAAAAAGAAATCTATAGTTTGTCACACTACTGTGAAACTATAGAATAATAAAGAGAAAGCAAAGATCTTAAATATAGCTAGGGAAAAAAAGACAGATTACCTGCTAAAGGAATGATATTTGAACAATCACTGATTTCTTAACCAACGGCTGCTATAACACAATGGAATAGTATCTTCTGTACACTGCAATAAAATAACTGTCTACCTAAAACTCTGTACCCCAAGAAACCATATTTCCAGAGAGAAAATTAAGGTTATTTTCAAGAAAACAAAAAGAGAGAATTTTCTCCCAAAATGTTCTTGCTAAAGGAAATTTTATAAGTGCTTTAGGCAAAAGAAAAATGATACCAAGTAGAAGGGTTAAAATGCATGAAAGAATGAAGAGGAAAAATATTGTTAGATATCTGGGTAAAATCTAAACAAGCACTAAAATATCAAACAGTAATAATAATGGTTAATTTGTTGTAAAGAGGGAGTGTCAATGGTTAGAATTTTTAAAATTCGGAAAGATCAAAGTTTAACTATTCTAATTTTCTTTCATTGTTTAGGTGTGAGTAAAAAAAACACATTAATTTTAGACTTTAAGTTACATATACATCTTAAAACAGCTAGGATAACCACTAAAATCACAGACCTAAGTATGTGACTTCTGAATAGAGGAAAAACAATGGAGTGTGGGGGAGGAAACTTAAATACATCCAAAGAAAGCAAAAAAGAGGATAAAAGTAATAAGAAAGCAAGATAAGTAGGAAGTACAAAGATAATAGAAATAAAAACAAATATATCAGCGACTATACTTAACACAAATAAATTTGTCTCCATTTAAAAGACAAAGATTTTTATACTATAGAAAAACTATTTAGATTTAGACTGTTTAAAAGAGACACATTTAAAACATAATGAAGCAGAAAAATTGAGAGGAAAAATACACAACAGGCATATACTTAAACCTTCCACTTCCACTCAAAAAAATGTTATGCAAAATAATGAGATAAAATAGACCAAGAAAAAATATTTAGAAATAAACGAAGAAAAAAAGAATTTTAGAAAGTCAATACTTTTGAAAAAATGGTTCAATTCACCAGGAAAATATAATATTTGTAAACATTCATCACCTTAAAACATAGCATCAAAATATATAAAACAAAAACTTAAAGGACCACACAGAGAAACTGAGAAATCTACCATCATATTGGGATATTTATATAACT